TGTAGTCCTAGCTACTTGGGAGGCTGAGGCAGAAGTGCCTGAGCCCAGAAGGTAGAGGCTGCAGTGAGCTGTGATCATGCCATTGCACTCCAGGCTGGGCAACAGAGTGAGACCTCCAACTCAAAAAAAATTATGTATATAGCACATATATATTTTATATGTAAGTATATTTTGTATCATATAGTATATATAAGTTATGTCTATAATATACATTTTACATATAAAATGTAAAAGTATACCTCATCGATAATTGAAAATTTGTGTTGATATCTTCACTGTTGTTATCTTTAATTTTTGTAATTCTTAGTTGGAAATACTGTGTTTTCTTGAAACATTCAGTGGCTCAGAAATATAATAGCTATTCTTTCAAAGTTTAAAAAATATAATTTCATTTTTCTGATTATGGATGCATACCTGCTTACTGTAGAAAAATTATGAAGGGCAGAAAAGATGAAGAAATCATTGAGTAAGCTCTCTTAACTTTAGTCCAAGGAACAAACTTTAGCAGATCTATGCTTCTTTCTTCAACAGCCTTAGTACCTACACATTTTATTTATTTATAAGATGCTGAGTAAACATGAAGTGTTATGATAAATAACATCTTGATGTTACAGGCAATTTTCTAAGTTCTTGACATATGTATAAAATCCACTCTACAATAAATAAAAAAAAAAAACCAGTTGGGCGTGGTAGCACATGCCTGTAATTCTGGCTACTTGGAAGGCTGAGGCAGAAGGATCGCCGGAGTTCAGCAGGTCGAGGTTGCGGTGGCCAGGAGTGGCCACTGCACTCTAGTCTGGGCGACAAAGTGAGACTCCAACTCAAAAAAAAAAAAAAAATCCACTTAGTCTTTTCCACCACCACTTCTTGAAGTACTTACTGTTGCCAGATGGGGTGCAGTGCAAAATTCATGGCTCTTTGGCTGGAATCTAAAATGAATTTTAGAGTGGTCAGCCAAGTTTTAAAACAAAGTTTGTTAGTGAAAGAAGAGGGGAGAGATAAGAGGAATGCCAGAGATGGCATGGGAGAGAGAAAATCGATTTTTGCTTTCAAAAAAAAGACCTCATATATCTTCACAATGATTGATATGCTAAAGAGGATGGAGCCCAGATAGCCACTGCTCCAGAGAGACTGACATCTCCCAAGCATCCAATGGGAGGAAAGGGCAGTCTTTTTTAGGGAGGCTGGTCAGACTTTTTAAATCATGAGCTAAAAAGTGGTCTTATTATCATTTCTATGACTTTTGATTTCCTGTCCGGGAACCACCCTGACTGAGTTTTTCTTTGGCAAGCTGACCTGGTGGGGTGGACTGGAACTTCACACTGAATTCACATTCCAGGCCACAGGGCCATTCAACCTGCTGGCAGGATGTTTGGCTATAAGAAATATATCTATCTATGCCTAATGTGTACTAGCTACCCTGCCTCAATTTCCAGGTTTTTCTCACATTACAATGTACAAGGAAATTAAAGGGCCATGGAATTTAAGTAATATGTCCAAGATTTCATGATTAATAAAATTCAGAATTGTAGCTCCAGGCAATGTAGCTTTAACCACACAATAAAAAATTAGTTTTCTGGGGTAAGTGATTAATGACTTCAGGAAAGTAGCTTTTTAAAAAAAAATTTTTTGATGCTTGTTATTCTCATGGTTAAATATCTCAACTTGATATTTCCTAAACCTTAAAAATAGTAAACTGCTGGAAGTCTCCAGTATTATTTTACTAATGGCAAGAATTTTTTGTGGCATTAACATAATATACTTAAATTTAATGAAATCTATATCTATTTAGCTAGCTGTCTGTTATTCCAAACAAATGTACTTCACCTTCAAAATCTGTATATATGTACTTCACCTTCAAAAAATGAATATTCTCCCTTGGGTGCTTCCTAGAAGGGAAAGTAGACATCTTAATTGGCTATTGTTTGCTGAGATAAGGATCACAATTTTCTGCTGATCCAGTTTGGGAATTTTATCATATTTTAGTAACTAAAATACTATGTCTTCAACATTAATAGGAGACTGTCCAGAACTTTGTTCCCCTTATAATTTAAGAAAACAGAAGCCGGCCTCAGTGGCTCAGCCTGTAATCCTGCGCCTTTGGGAGGCTGAGGTGAGTGGATTGTCTGAGCCCGCGGGTTCGAGACTCGCCTGGGCAGCGAGACCTCATCTCTACAATAAATCAGAAAATCAGCCGGGCGTGGTAGCACATGCCTGTAATTCCGGCTACTTGGAAGGCTGAGGCGGAAGGATCGCTGGAGCCCACCAGGTTGAGGCTGCGGTGGCCGGGAGCGGCCACTGCACTCCAGTCCGGGCGACAGAGTGAGACTCCAACTCAAAAAAAAAAAAAAGAAAACAGAAAATATTTGCTGAAATGATTTCCAGATCCAACCCAAAGTATTTGCATAATCCAATATTCAGGGTAAATAGAGCATCAAAAGATGCGTAATAATAGCCAAAGGGGTTAAGACATTTCAAGAAACAGTCTCATATTTGCAGAATGATCCATAACTTTATGCCTATGACTTGGGTAATAAATATTAGTTGCTTACAAAGTGAACTACAAAAGAAATGGTTTTTTTTCCTCTTTAGTATTTCAGTTATCATAATTCGATCCCTAACATCCTCATATTTATTTTTCAGAAGATTTGAAAAGTGGTATTCTATTGAAATAATCCAGTTCTTTCTTGTTTTAATGATTGTCTTCCCTAGCAGTTACTGATTGTATGAGCTAAAAGACAAGTTTATATGCCCAAACTTTGAACTCATGGAAACACCAATCTTAAAGAAATAGAGTCATCTCTAAAATGAAAGTATTGTTTTCTAAATTCAATTGTGAGCAAATATATTTATTGTCTCTTGCAGCTTTGATTGGCACTATCTCATCTGCCTTTAAAATCCAGAGTTACTGCTGTATCCTAAGCCCTGATGGAGCAGCAGGAACGGGGAGGCAGTGCTAAGTCACTCTACCCACACCTGCCTTGGGCAATTGTGTCCTTACAATTTCCAACTCTACTTGTTGAAATTACCCCTTTTAGAATAATGACTCTGACGCCAAGGGGAGAAGAAAGATGTCTCATTGTGGCATTAAATCCCCGGACCCATCTATTTCATCAATCCAGAGCATTTTATCAAGTGTCAAAATCATCCACTGGGTCCAGTCCCTAGTTCACTTGTCCTTTCTGCCTGGTTTGAGCCTCTCCCCACTTTTTCTAATAACAGAACTCTGGTTTTCTTTGGGAAACCTTCTCCCCTTCCTTCCAGTTTGGATGATTCAGGTAGATTAATCCTACTCCAAAGGTCCAGGACTGAACCGACATCCCAAAGTAGTATAGGCCAGTCTTTCCTGTCTAGGTCCAAACCCCCCAGCCAGCCTGGCAATGCTCAGGGCTGGGCAAGTGACCTAAGTTCAGCCAAGTCAGAAAAATTTTCGGAAGCCCATTTCGGCAATAAATGGTTGGAAAAACAGTCTGTTGCTTCCTGCTGGGTAATAGATAGTAGAACAGAAACTTGGAGCTTTGCCAATGTTTGAAAATAATCTGCCTAAAATAAAGCCAGCACAGAGAAAAGCATCAAATCTGCAGTGAGGCTGATGTGAGATAAATTTTTTAACTCTAGGATCAGGTTTATCTCGTTTACTCTTCAGTCTTTCAGGTTCATAGAGAAATGAAATGAGTAAGCCAATTCGTGTTGGATTTTTGTTACTGACTCCACTTACCACTTGAGTTATCTTTTTAACCAGAGGGCATTTCAACTTGAATTTAATTTCTTTCATCTTCCATTTGATCCCACATTGTTATCGATCATTTTCTCAGCATTGTAACGTAGAGACCAAGTTAAGTGCCATAGATACAGAGATAATTCAGACAGACCCTGCTACCCTCTAACTCTCAACGTAATAGGGAAGATGAACGTACAAATGAAAGATTTTAGAAGAGCCTGGTAAATACTATGATAAACTATGCCCAAGGTATTATGAACAAGGAAGGGCCCCTAACACAACTTTTACAGAGTGGATTTGTGAGATGCGTCAGAGGGGTTTTTCTGAAAGAGGTGGTTACTTTTGTAAGCTTTAAAGGATGAAGAGTTTTCCAAGTAGATGGGGAAACATTAAGAGCTAGACAAAATTCCAGAAGGAGAAACCCAAGTGAGCAAAAACATGGAAGTACCAGAAGTTGCAAGTGACTCCTATATCTGGAGTTCACCCTGTGAGCAGGGACGAGACAGTAGCTGAGGCAGGGCTCCGGCACTGGTGGTCATGTGCCTGGAGAGTCCTGCCAGGCCAAATGGAGGTGACCCACATTGGTAAGCCACTACATGCATCTCATGGTGTTTTTATGGCGCTTGTCCCTTACGCACAGGTTGCACTGTGACCTTTATTGCCTATGTACTAGGTGAGTGGGGGGTAAGGCCAAGATAACCTACAGGTTCAAGGTATGTGCAGAAAATGAGGGATGGTGGATATGAAGTTCAAAGGACATTTATTAAACACATACAACCATATAATATTCAAAAGACTGTGATTGGTTTTTCAAAAGACGAATAGTGAATAAAGCCAAAATTCCAAATATGAAATTCTTTTGTGATACTTAGCTCACATACTTTCTTCTGCAAGATAGCTAGTCTTTTCTTCTATTTCTGTAATAAAGACATCCTGATGATTTCAGCAACCTATAATTATTTAAATTTATTTCAGTTAACACTGAGCACTATCTAATATATTAGATTTAGACATCACTCCAAGTGTTTTTTTTTAAGATTTTAGTATAAACTTTATATTTACATTTTTTTTTTAACAGTAAGATTTTCGTCTTTACTCTCATCCTCACATGTCCACAGACCTCTTTTCCATGGAGAGGGACTGGGTCCTAGGGCCACAACTGCATTCTCTGTTTAATAATTTGTAGTAGTGGTTCCCGGGAGAGGGTGGTTGCAGCAACTTCTAACCAAGTGTCTACAATACCTGGACTACTGCGTCCACTCTGTGTCACCTCTGCAAAGAATGCAGCTTTGAGTCCAGTTCTATGAGCATGAGGGCAAAACCCTCCAAAGTTCTGAGAATGCTGGCAACAGAGTTCCCAAACTCAGACACTAGTCTGAAACAAGCCCTGGATACCAGGACTTGAGAGGCTGTGGGTTTTCAGGGCTAAGACCTTTGTGGATCCTGCCACACTGGCAGGGGCCAAAGTCCAGGACTGGGTGTAGGTCTAGTCACTCCTGTTCACCACACTCTTATTTCACAGTCTTTTTTCCCTTGGTTTCTTCTGTTTCTTCTGTTCCTAGCATTCAAGTATTTTCTGTTGGAAATAGCCTGCAGGAGGATTCTTGCTCTTCTCGGCTTCTTGGATGAAGAGGGAGAACAGCCGTGTCTTCACAAACTTCTTCACAAACTGGCGGTTGGTCTTGGAGGTCAGAGCCTTACAAAAAGGTCGTTCTTGGAAATGGCCTTGTCCATTTGCCTCCCGCTTGATAAAGGAAGCATAGTGGCCCACAGTCTTCACAAAGAACTGCACAAAAGGGCCTGAAACATGCTCGTTGATTTGTTCTGCAGTCGTTAACTCATTGATCCCCTGATCAAGAGAGTCTAAGATGTCATCCTGAAGCTTCGGTGGTAGGATGTCTTTTTCATCACCAACTGACATTAAGAAGGTTCCTTCACAGAGATTCACCAGTAGGACCTCTTCCATGGGGCTGTCCAGGACCGCCTGACGGAAGCGCATTTGTACACCAACCATGAAGTGGGTGGGGCAGTAGACGGTGGCCAGAAGGCTCTCGGGGACAACAGGGATGTGCGCCCAGCTGAAGGGGTAGAGCAGTGCGGCGGCAGCGTGGATGCACTGAGACAGGGTGCTGAGACCTTCTGCCAGGAAGATGATTTTTCTCTCCAGCACCGCAGAGGCAAAGATCTGAAGTATCTGTTCAAAACCGAGGCACTGCAACAGGGAACTAAAATCCATATGTTCTAGGTGGGAGTCCAGGGGCCGTGTCAGTGAAATGAACTCAGTGCCTGAGTCTGGAATGAAACTCTTGAGGGTGACGGTCTTCCCAGGGGCAGGGAAGGCTGCCTCTCGCAGGCCCTGCATGAACGGGTAGATGACAGTCATGGAGATCTGGTGTCTCTTCTCCACTTCATCCAGGATCTTGGAGAACAAGCCGAAGCAGCCAATGCAGCTGATGATGCAGTAGACTTTGGGAAGGCGAGGGCCAGGGCCAGCCGGCAAGAGGCGCCTGCAGTATCCAATCTTTCTGCTCCCGTTCACATTAGTCAGAATGAAGGAGAAGGTCTCCCTAGGATACTCGGTGAGTGGTGCCCATGCGTTCCCATCTGGGAAGCAGAACAAAAGGATGGCTTTGAGCAGCCGTTCCTCCTCCTCCTGCTGGCCCCAAAGCAGGTTCTCCCACTTGGGAAACTGGTAGGTGATCGTGGGCTCATAATCATCCCCCAAATGCTTTTTTTTTAGAGAAACCACGGGAAGGTGTGCCCTATATTTACATTTTTTAAAGATTTTTTTTTTTACACTTTTGTGGAAGTGGCATTGAGTAATTAAACTGCATTGTGGTCATATCATGTAACCCAAGAAATACAGGAATACCCAAATTACAAAAGAATATGGCAGACAAATATGCAGGAAATGAAGAAACATCTCCATGGAAATATTTTTATCGTATTAGATGGCTATTTTGGACATGAAAACAGCATGATGACTCTGGTATTATGGAAGTAAGATTTAGGAAGTTGAGAGATGATTTATAAACCACAGCCAACAGATCACACCCAGTGTATAGCTATAGAGCTCAATTAGGAAAGTTGCAAATCATTATAAAAAACTTGATGATCAGAAAATGTCCTCTGCAACATCTCAACATTTTGAAAGATGTTAATACATTTTTTATGATTCATATATGGTCTCTTCAAGAAAAGGTTCTTTGTGTACTGGAAAAACAAATGTGATGTATGCAATTGCTGAGTAAAATGTCTATATTTCACTGCCTTGTATTAAGTATTGAAAGAGTGTGTTAGCATCTTTAACTCCAATTATACATTTGTCTATTGCACTTTTTTTTTCAGCAGTAAGGTCTCATTCTATCACCCAGGTTGGAATGCAGTGATGGGATGCAATCATAGCTCACTGCGGTCCTGAACTCCTGGACCTTATAGTTCTTCTCATCTCAGCCTCTCAAGTAGTTTAAATATCTTGGTAATATGTTATTAAGTTCATAAAATTTTAGGATGGTTGTAGAACCATCCTTGTGCAGGATTGCCTCCTTTTTATTTTCAAGAAGCTTCCTTTATCTCTAAGATTACTTCTTTCCTTAAGGCATAATATATTAATTAGGTCATCACTAATGGACCAATTATTAGTAAATACACTAATATTTATAGTCATAGTTATTAATAAGTAATCAATGTATTAATATATCTATGCCAGAGTTCTTTCGGTTAGTTTTGCATGCTAGAACAATTTCAATTCTTTTAATTTCAGGCCATTTGAGGCCTAATTTGTATTTTATTTTTACCTTTTTAACTGATACATAATTGTACTTATTTGGACTACATGGTGATGTTTTGATATATATCATTTATAGTGATCAGATCAGGGATGGATATAATCAGCTCATATCCATCATCTCAAATGTGTTGGGAACATTCGACATCCTCCTTCTAGCTGTTTGAAACTGTATATTACTTTTCAACTGTAGTCATCCTACTGTAGCATAGAATACGAGAACTTATTCCTCTTCTCTAGCTGTACTTTAAAGTGTGTCCCTTTTAAGCAGCATACGCATGTCTTATTTATACAGTCTGATAATCTTTGAGTTTTAATTGGAGTGTTTATTCCATTAAATTTTCCGTAATTCTTAACATAGTTGTATTTAAGTATACTATCTTGCTATTCTAGTTGAGCTATCTTTTTAAAACAATAAACTTTTTAACTTGGAATTATTTTAGATTTACAACAAATTCATGTAGTTAGTAGAGCTTCTGTGTATGACCTTAGCTCAGTATTCCCTAATGTTTACATTCTATGTAATTGTAGTACATTTGTCAATAATAAGAAATTAGCATTCATATATTGCCATTAACCAAACTCGTTTATTCAGATTTTATTAATTTTCCATTAATGGCTTTTTTCCTATTCCAGGATCCAATCCAGCATAGCATATTGTATTCAGTCCTCATGTCACCTTTGTCTCTTCTACCTGTTTCTTAGTTGTGCCTTCTTTTCCACAATCTTGATGAGTACTCCTTAGGCAATTTGTAGAACGACCCTTAAGTCAGATTTTGATGATGTCCTTCTTATGACTATCCTTGTGAGAAATGAACTCACCTGTTCAAAATCAAAGAATGGACACAGAGACGTGGAGTGCAGCAGAAGCAAGACTTTAATGACTTTCTTGCACGATCAGTTGTCTGGCAGGCACACAGAAGCAGGAAGAACCAGCACTTTTATCCCTAAAATGCAGGTCCTTCTCCTGATTCCTTATTGGAGGAGTACTGCAGAAGTTATAGGCCTTATCGTAGGACGCCTACGTGACAAAATTTTGATTGGCCTACAGAATCATTTCATTTTCATGCCTTATTTCCCAATTGGCTTACAGAATCATTCTGATTGGATCCTACCAAAAGTGTAAACATGAAGACCACCAAAGTAAAAAGCCCATGAAAAGGAAGCACAAAGTAGCAGGAAGTGACTCAACAAAAGAGAAGCACAAAGCATTCAGACACTATCTTAAGAACCCAAAATAAGCTAGGCTCCAATTTTAAAATAAATCACCATTCATATTTCTCACAATTCTGGAGATACAGATTTTGTGGAAGAATGTAAGAGGAGTTGAAGTGTCTATCCCATCACAATTATAGCTGGGAAGTGTCTATCCCATCACAATTATAGCTGGGAGTGCAGAGTATTCACATGCCGTCACTGTTGTTAATAACCTTGATCATTTGGTTAAGGTTGTTTCTGCTGAATTTTTCCACTTGTGCTTCTCTCTTTCCTTTTTGCTAGTTTCTTCCCTGGAAGCCAGTCACTAAGTCAGCTCACACATCTATGGAAAGGAAAACTGAGCCTTGCCTTCAGGGAGAGACTGTTACTCATTGTATTCGGAATTCTGCACTGATTTGTCCCTTCTCTCCTGTACCATTTTGCTGTTTTGTTCCTTTATTCTTTCATCTTTGTCTTCTTTTGTATGATTCAGATATTTTTTATTATTCTATTTCATCCCTTTTCAGATTAAGTCCAACATTCTGCGTTTTCCTTTTCCATGGTTGCTCTATAAATTACAGTATATGTTTTTGCTGCATTCTGATTTTTCTTAATACTTTCTCTCACAATGGAAGACACATATTATAGTCTAAGTCTGCTCATCTCCCAACATGTCCTCTGTGTTATTTTTGTCCTATATTTTACTCTACAGATTCTCAGTAGGTCATTGTTATTTTAAGTAACACACGTTTTGAGTTCTGAAGCAAGATCCACTTTTCCACCTTTTGCGGTGGGAAAGAATTGCATCATTGTTTGAAACACCACTTACCAGAAACATCAAATTTGTAAAGAACTAATTTTGAATAACAAATTGGTAGTGTGAAGAACAGCAATACTTTAGGTAAAACTAGAATTATTGAGAATGATCAAGGTACTTTCTAAGAGCTTCAACTCAACTATTCCTTTTTATGCAATAGAAATACATGAGAAGGACCAGCTGGAATCAGACAGAGTTAGATATAACCGACAGTCTAACTGTAGGTACCTTGGGCACCTAGGAGGAACTAAAGGGCAAGAAGATTTTTTTTTTTAAGTAAGCATTTTCTTTTTTTTTTTTTTGGTAAAACTTTTTATTTTCATGTCATTTGTAAAAATGTAACAATCATTGTAACCTCTCGGTTCCAAGGCAAAGAGAAGCACTGCATAATGAACATTAAACAAGGCATTATGCCTTACAAACAAGACATAAAATGTCCAAGGGAAGCATCAACATAAACATGTTGACCACATAATGTAAGATAATTTCAATAAATAACAATTGACATTCTTTTAAAAACGTACAAAAATAGAAGCTCACCTATATTCCCTTACCCTAACAGTGATCTCACTGTTGGGTCCCCTCCCCATTCCCATCCATCACAGTGGCTGACACTTGATAGTCTTCCACTAAATATTAGTTTAATGAGACATTTAAAACCCAGCATCTTCAAATGTAATAGTAATCAGGACTGAGCTGTGTTTGATGAAACATATTCACCTCTTTAAAAAGTAACATGTAAAATATCAAAATGCAAGTTTTGAAAAATAAATAAATACATAAATAAATAGAACTCTCATAAGAAATAATCAAATAGATTAAGCCTTTTCCAGATGTCTCCAGAAACCAGTTGTTCTCTTTCATTTTCAGCTTTCGTAAGGGCAGAATCTGCCCTGCAGGAACCGCCACTTATGAGCTGAGCTTCTTACTTCTCCCTAGGTCAGTTGGCCCTGCCCCTATGATGAGAAAATGGTTACTGTTATGATGCTAGGGAAGTATGCTCTCTCTTCTCCTATCCTGGTCTCTGAAGCTTGGAAACCCTTGCTCAGCCCTCTGCTCAGGGAAGGTCTGGTTCAACTCACTATGCTGTGTAGCAGAAAACTAGGGCTCTTAAATCCTTTCTATTGAGAAAACAAGAGGCCTGTGGACTCAAATAGATTCTTGGCTTGAAGGAACCAAAACATATTGCTCACTAATTGTCTGTCACATCAGATTAAACATTGACATGTCATGACCTCACTTAGCCACACACAACCCTATGAAATAGCTACTATTATTTACCCTATTTTTCTGAAGCTCAGAGATTAAATAATGTTCACAGAGTTCCTAACCTTGAACTGTGAGGTGGGGGTGGGGGTAGGGAGGTCAAACTGCAAAGTCCCTGCTCTTCACCAGAAAGATTTAGAGGCTCAAGGTGACTAAGACCAGAGGCTCCACTTCTCCGGTCTGCATCCCACGAGGAACTGAAGTAAACATTGGCTTTTAATAGGTGGGAGGCATTATCCCATCATTAGCCAAATCCATTAATCTTTTAGGAACACTCATTTACTCTCTCATTTGAGCAGGGGTTTGGGCATGGGGATGGAGGGCACTAAAATACTGAAATAGCCTCTGGCACCAGAACAGAATAATGCTCTTAATGGAAACTAGTTGTGAAAACAATAATCCTCTTTTCTGTCCTGCAACCAACCCCTAGGTTTCCCTGGTACAATTTTCAGGGGACAGATGCCCGTATTTCTAACGAGTGCTCCAGTCGCCTGTGTCCATAGAAACCCACACTCACGTGTTGAGCATCCTCTGGATGATTTTCTTGACCATGGGGGCTGTGGGGTTGAGACAGGCGTCCTGCCCGTTCTTGAGCGTGGCTCTGTGGAGAGAAGAGGGGCGCGTGAGCGAGAGCGGGGGCTGGGGTCCGACAGGGCGGCGGGAGGCTCCGGGCGGGACTCACATGACTTCGGTCTGGGCGCAGTGGGGTCCTGGGGACGTCACCTTCACGCTCCGGATGTTCTTGGGGTGGATGCCATGCGCGCTCTGCAGGCACTGGCAGCGCAACTCGGAGACCACGGGCGCTCCTGCGGGCGGAGAGACTTGCTGGGTGAATTGGTGGCTCCGGGGGGCGGCCACCCGAGTCCCGCCCAGCCCGGGACCCCTGGTCCCACCTGTCACGTGGCGGCCGGCGACCACCAGGAGCAGGAGCAGCAGCGCCGCCTGGGGCAGCCGCGGGACGCGGAAGACGGCGAGGGTCGCGGCGCGGGCCATGGTCTCAGTAGAGGGGAGCAGGAGGCGGGCGGGGGCGCTTGCGGTGCGGGCTCTGCGGCTCCCGAGACCCGCGAACCCCTTTTATGCATGGTGGGGCTGGAAAGCCCGAGGCCGGGAAATTCCCGTAAGGAAGGCGCCACACCGCCACGGGGGAGAGGGGAGGGGCCCAATGATGACGTCCCCGCCTCGCCCTCCTGCGGAAGGCCAGCGGACTTGGGTACTCGGGGGTATTCTCTTCCGTCCCAAATTCCGGGGCGGGGGGTAGGGGTGGGGAGGGAGGCGTGAGTCGCCTGCGGCGCTGGAGTCACCGCAGGGGAAGGGGGACCGGGTCGCCCAGTGACTCCAGTGCGCGGGACCAAGAGGGTCAGGCCATTAGACCCAAGTAAGGACTTGATCACATCTTTGCCTGGGAGTTCCTTCTCCGTACACTCTACTAATTCTCGGGCAGAAAAGACCTTAGACACCAGAAAGGGAGCAGCTAATGTGACTCCGCCTGTTTACTCCTCTAAACGCAAACAGAGGCGACTTTGATGTATAAATACTAAATGACTAATATTGCTAATATTTCTGTGCTCTCTGTAGGTACCTGCATCCTGGGGCTATTTCTCTGCAGAGACATTACTAACATAGTCTTGTATTAGTTCTGTAGGAATGTCATAAAGCATTTCTAAACCTGTTTAGCGAATGCCTTCTCACTGGGTAACTGCCTTTTCACCATCAGTTTCAATAGTCCTCCTTTTCAAAATTAAACTATGGGCCTACATGATCTAAGTTGAGTCTTCCGGGTGTATACAGTCCTCAGGGATTTGTAAGACATCTTGCCACTGATGTGAAAGGTCTGGGAAGCAGCAGTATGAGGTGCACTTGCATGGGAAGGGTGTGTTCCCTAGATGCAAAGCTATGGAGATAATTTGCTAAGGCTGTCAGGGCTGAAGTCTCAGCTACACCACTGACTTGCTTCATGACCATTGGCAATCTATCTAACCTCTTTCTGTTCATGTTTCCTCCCTGAAAAATAACTTGTAATAGTGCCTGCCTCACAGGGTTCTTAGGAGCATTCCATGTGTTCACATTTGCAAACCATCAGCATATATTCGGTGTTATGTAAATATTTGTTCGATAAACCAAATAGAAGGAGGGTTTTACAACCTTACTATTATGGACTGACTATTCAGTGTCCCCCACCCCCACATTCATAGGTTAAGGCCATAAATCCCTATGTGAGGATATTAGAAAGTTAAGCCTCCGGAGGCAATTAGGTTTAGATGAGGCTATAAGGGGGAGGGAGGAGGGGTATGATGAGATTAGTGCCCTATGTGTGTGTCTCTCTCTTCTCCCTTCCCCCTTCCTTTCCTCCTTCCCACTCTTCCTCTCTGCTCCTCCTCTTCCTCCCCAATCCCTTCCCTGCCTACCCACATTGTAAGGACACAGTAAGAAGGTGGCCATCTGCAAACTAGGAAGAATGCTCTCGCCAGACTAGGAAGCTGCCAGCACCTTAATATTGAACTTCCTAGCCTCTAGAACTGTGAAATAAGAGTTTAGTTATTGCCACCCAGTGTATGACATTTTGTTATAGTAGCTCAAACTGACTAAGACATCTGAACAGGTGGTAAATCCTTATGAACAGAATAACTTTTTTTGTCAAAGAAACATCTTCTAATTTATCTTTAACATTTTTAAGCATCAGGAATTTTGAAAGGAAGGTGCATTTATAGTCTAAGGGAAAATTAGAATAATTTTAAAAATTCATTGTTTGAAATTTTAGTTTCAATTATTTTTCATATAAAATGGGAATAAGAGTAAAATTCTACCCAACCAATTATTGGTAAAGGTTTAAGAAATGACTCTCTCTGTCTTGGGCATTAACAGCTGGCTGCCCAAACTTTTTGTTTATTTTTTGCAACTAAAAGAAATAGAAAATATTAGCTTATAATTATTGCCAGACTCATCCCAAACTATTGATATAAATAAATATTAATACCAGTAAAAAAAGAGTGACATTTTGATTTATCCATAGCAACAGACCCCCAAAATGATGAAGTATATCAAGAACCATCTCATTATCTGTGACTCCTAGAACTTGTTTAGTAAAATAAATTTGCTTTCAGAAAAGAAGTAAGAAAGTTTTTCCCCTTTTGTAATCTACCACTTTGCATGATTTAATTCATGACAGCCCCTTACTAAGTTTCTGAAATTTTGAAGAGCCCCAGTGTTATGAAACCTCTCATAATGAGCGAATTCTTCTTGTTTTGACATGTGCTGAATGCCTCTGTTATATGTACAGATTGGAAACCCATGCAATCCCCAACCCAATGAATCCATCTCTAAAATAGAAGCTCAGAGCCGGGCTCGGTGGCTCAGCCTGTAATCCTGCACTTTGGGAGGCTGAGGTGAGTGGATTGCCTGAGCCTGCGGGTTCGAGACCTGCCTGGGCAGGTGGGACCTCATCTCTACAATAAATAAAAAAATCAGCCGGGTGTGGTAGCACATGCCAGTAATTCCGGCTACTTGGAAGGCTGAGGCTGAAGGATCGCTGGAGCCCAGCAGGCGAGGCTGCGGTGGCCGGGAGCAGCCACTGCACTCCAGTCTGGGCGACCGAGTGAGACTCCAACTCAAAAAAATAATAAAATAAAATAGAAGCTCAGTTTACTAAATTTCATTCTATCCTGTAATTTTTATCATATCTTTCAGATTTAACTATTACAATCAAATATGCCTGCAAAATTTAGGGATGCTGTTTCCTGTGAGCACTGACATTCTTGCTAATTGGGCAGCAAGGAATGGTGTGGCTCTGTTTGCCCCAGATTTGCCTTGAGGACTCGGTGGGCATAACTTCCAGCATAAATTTTCCTCCTGCAGAGAAACAGATTAGAAAGATAAATAATGAAAACGGACTTTGGAGACTGGTCTAATGGGGATTGAGATCTAGTGCTTTGGAATTACAGAATAGAAAGCAGATAACACTGCTGACAATTAAAACTTGACAGTTCTAACTCTGTTTATGCTGAGTGATTTTCTTCAAGCTTTGCTGCCACCAGTACAAAGCTAGGCAGTGGTACCATTCCCTTTTTGTGTCTGACTCAGTGAAGAAGTAAACAATTGGCATGGTCACATACTATATTTATATCTTGTTTTGTTGTTGTTGTTATTGTTTTAATGAAAAAAGAGTTAAGACAGCTTCTCCATGACCAGATCCTCTGCATACTTCAAAGTGTTATAAACAGAGTGGTTGACATGTTGTGTGGAGCTTTTTGATTTTTTGAAAAACATGGTTTATATTCATTGTGCTACTTTTTGTTGTTTTTGGTTGTGATCCTGCTGAAGAAAAATTCTTCCTTGTCTATGGCACCTTAGTGGGTTGTTAGCTCAGGGACTGTGACCACAACTGATTGAAATACGTGCTCTGGAGGAAAAGCACAAAATTAAGGGAAGGAAAGTAATATTTATTAGGCTCCAATTCTTGATCAGATGCAGTGCCCAAGTACTTCAGTATAATGTCATTTCAATACTTCCAATAATGCTAGGAAGTTGGTATCATTTTTATTTCATAGAAAAGGAAAATGTAATATAAGGTCTTACTGGTAAGGGTTAAATTCAAGTCTAAGACTCTCTGGCTCAGAGGTCCGCTGGCTTGAGCCTCGATAGGGAAAGAAGAAACCAGGAAGAAAAAACCAGGTAAAATCTTACCTGGTTTTGTCAGCCCGCCTAGAAAATGATGCTATTTTTAGAAATCTTCTATTCAGTTTATACTAGGAATCAAACAGAAATGTAGGGGCAATGACAACTAAGTAGCCCTGAAAGTCCATATAGCCCAAGGACCCTCCTGCTTATTGTGCCATTAACCCCAAATGCCTCACCCATGAAGTTCTCAGAAACTTCTAGCATTAGTTCAAGATCTGATATTAAGGTTGAAGGCAGATGACAGAGCAGGTGATGGATCTAGCTGGTCTAAGCATCTTATCTCAGTCAGCTCTCAAAGTATCTTGGAAGGCACTAATAAGAAGTCTATCATGGACTGTTAAAGCTTAGTTCTCTCATGAAGAGGCTTGAGCAAGTCATGATCCACTAGTGGGTCATACACTCAATTTTACAGGCTGTAACAAAATTTAAATCAGCAGTGCTTTACCTCCAGAGCATACATTTCAATCAGTGGTGGCCACTGAGCTAACAGCAACCTTCTGAGGAATGACAGACAAACAAGACTATTTCTTCAACAGGACCACAACCCAAAACCAGGGTGCCACAACCAGTAAAGAAACATTACGAATATTTTAAAACCCAATGGAATAAAATATAATAGGATGGAATATTTTTAAAAAGTCATCATCACATATTGTTGTATTAGTGTTATTTTATATCACTTTTGTGTCTTATATACATGAATAACTGTTAAGTAAGCTTGATACACAAGATGCAAGATGCGACCTCCAAGAGCAAAAATATTCCTTCAATAATTTTGTTATACTGATCAAGGATATGACTATAGAATAAGTTCCTGGTTTATAGACATTGTCTGCTGAGAATTTCCAGTTGGGAAAAAAAATAAAACGCAAGCACATTCCATTTTAATTTCATCACTCTCTGAAAGTTTGCACAACAGAGAACTACAGTAAACGGCTGTACAACCTGAGCTTTTCCGGGCAGAAAACTTCAATGTTCCTGCTGATAAGGGCGGCAGCTTGACACTGTTCTCAGCAGAGTTAAAAGATTAACATGGCACCAGCAGCAATTGACTTAGCAAAATTTGTTTTGGTCTTTTGGTCAGTTGGGCCACACCTAATTATTATAGCCAACTAAGAATGTTACTGGCTGATCACATGCAGAAGATTGAAACAGGACCCATACACATATCACCACACACAAAAATTAACTCTAAATGGATCAAAAACCTAAACGTAAAACCTCAAACTATAAGAATCTTAGAAAATGCAGGAGACAACCTTATGGAAATTGAAACTGGCCACCAATTCCTGATCAAAACCCCAAGTGCCCATGCCATA